AGACTTTAAAAAACGTTTTAAATTGGGAACAGAGAAAAATATTTTAGTAATTATACACCAGAGCTACACTGTGAAAATTCTAAGTGCCTTTTCACTGTATGTGAGGCGACTCATGTGACTGCATGCTGCTGATTGAAATGGGAGAGGTAGACTCAAAGTGGTAGCCCTGATGTAGTCCTTTGGCAAAATCTCCTTGTCTCTGTCATCACAATGGTATATTCCCATACCTGTGAGGTCAGAACAGTCAGAATGAACTTTTATCTCATTCTGGGTCTTTAAAATGATAAATCAAAACTATAAACTTGGAATATGAAAGTGATGAAGGCAGGAAAATTGCCACTGAGCAATCACAAAACATTTAGCACCTAAGACACTAGGAAATATGGATTATGCGAATTATAGTAAGATATAGTGAAATGTAGTAAGATTATAGTTAGATTACATATATAATTTCCACCTTAATGTTTTTCTAGTAGATATGTTTCAAACATTCTTTACACACTTAAGATAATGAATAGATAACTGTAAATGTCTACTTGTTTAACTAATTTTTACAAATTTATTGTCAAATGCATAAGTAGCAGAGAATGGCAACTAAGTTAACTTCCACTTAGTTGGTTTTTAAATGTGTGGATTTAAAAAAATTGTTAGTAAATACAATAATTGCTTATTTTGCTGAGGAAACATTCGTTTAGAGAAGTCTGGGATCAGATAAAAGATGGTAATATTTTTTAAATTAGTATAAGATATTATTCAATGTACCTATACATGTTTCTGTGCTGTTTCAAAAAATAAATCTTAAGAAAATAGAAGTATAGTCAATCAAACTATTTCATAGTTGAAAGTCAAATGTCAATATGAAATTCTTTGAACACTAATTGAAGGAGAGCTTGGCATTTATTAGAAATGACTTAGCCTCAGAGCTGAGTGCATGCTTGATGTATTGAAGCATTGTAAGTTTTCAAAGATGAAAGTTCAGGATCTAGATGAATTATGAAAATAGAATATAGATATTTTAAGGGAACGATGAGAAGTCCATAAAATGTTTTTAAAAATATATCCTTACTTCTGGTGTAATATTTTAAATCATTATGGTGAATAGTAGTTACTTATTGGGAGTTATGAGATTAGAATTGGTGATATGTGGAAAAGCAGCATGCTTATTTTAATTAACTTTGAGATAGAGGCAATTTTGATGCACTTTAATTTCAAGTAAGAAGGGATTACATTACTTGGTTCTTTCCTTTTAATTTTTTATGTGTTGACCTATTAATTCTGTGTGTGCTTGTGTGTGTGGATGTGTGTGTGTGTGGATGTGCCAGGTGTGGAGAGTGGAGGCAATTGGGGGAGTCAGTTCTCTTCTCCCCACCTTGGTTCTGAGAACAGAACTCAGGTCAGCCTTCATCCATTTTCATATCAAGTGCCCTTACCTGCAGAGCTGTTTTGCCAGCCCTACATTACTTTATCAAATATTATTTTCATGAATAGTATTCAAACTGCATACACCTCAAAGGAGCAGTTTGCTTAACATAAATTCTAAATAACTGTTTTGAGAAAATAGTCAAAATCTTGTAATCTTTATTCTACTTGAGGAGGTAAAATTTCAGTGCCTCATAAGAGTCAGTCTTTAGAAAAGAATTTTTTCTGGGTTTGAATTATCGAGAAACCACTTTTTAAAGGTATACATAAAAATTGTAAGTCATACTTATTTAAAGAATATATTAAGTCTAGAATATAGCATCAATAAATCTGGAATGGAACATACCAAACGACTTCATGTATGTGGGTACCATAAAGTTTCAGCCACGAGGTTTCATCTTTTCAACCAACACATTAAACATATAGTTTATATTTGTTTTAAGACGGTAGAAATGACAAAACACAAGACAAAAAAAATAGTTTACCCATTCGTCTTAAAAGTTATATTGAGCTACTTTAAAGTAAGACAACAAATGAATTTGCAGAAAAAGTAATTTTAAGGTATTACACCAATTTTTAGTATAATGCAGTTAATTATATCTGTATTTTATAAAGACAATGGTTGGCCTAGCTTAACACAAACTTTGCTCATCATTTCTTGAGTATAATACTAGTTCATTTCTATTTTATTTGCATATGCAGATAATTCTTAGGAAGACAGAAGTTCTAGAATATTGTGCAGATGAATTTTCTCTTAGCAAAGCATTGAATCATCGCTGGAATGTGGAGTAAGCTACATGAAATGCGTTGAAGCAGTCCAATGTCACTCAAAGCGCTCAACAGCTAATGCATGTTCAGAAATACTACAGTGTCTGTGTATCTCTCCATACATGGCAAGAGTAACCTCTAACCATGAAATTTTCACATCATGCATACACCCACACACATTCAGCACTGGAGATAGCATCTATGACATGGCGTAGTGGGAGTCAGCACACAGCAGGCTATGACAGTGTGGGGTGGGGAAATTTGGATGCAAGAGCCAACTTTTACTCTTCCAAATAGGCAAAGGGTTCTTTTGTTCCTCTAAGAGAAAAGACGTGTCATTCCAAAGATTACACATTAAGTTCTAGCGAAAACTATAGTAAGTTATAAAAACAACATTTCTGGGAATTCCATCTGCACTAATGTAAGATCTCTTGTAACAAACTTTCTATAAAACAGGCAATTTTGTTTACTTTGGCTAGTGTTCCAAGTTAGCATATGGAGGGACACTCATGCAAATTATTGCTTGAGAAAATAGACACACTGTATTCATTTGGTCTTACTGTGATTATGTGGATTTTAAGACTTGGATTGCTCAGAGCCTGTCAAAGCAGAATATGTAGTTTAAGATGATAAAGAATTTGGGCCGGGCGGTGGTGGCGCACGCCTTTAATCCCAGCACTCAGGAGGCAGAGCCAGGCGGATCTCTGTGAGTTCGAGGCCAGCCTGGACTACCAAGTGAGTTCCAGGAAAGGCGCAAAGCTACACAGAGAAACCCTGTCTCGAAAAACCAAAAAAAAAAAAAAAAAAAAAAAAAAAAAAAGAATTTGGTCAGCCCAGATCGTCATTAGTTTGAGAAAGATACTTTACAAAAGTCAAAGTTTCCATGTTTGTTCAGTGCTTATCCTACTTGCTAAAAATAGGAAGTTCATACTTTTCTAAAGAATGTGTTTACATTACTATATTGTTTTCCTATTGAAAACTGATTGTGACATAAGGGTATATTTTCATTAGAAATCTTTATAAAGTCATAATTAATAGAATGTGCAGTTTTCCTTAAATAGTTTCTGAAATCTTTTTAGTTACTAATGATATATAATTATGCAGGCTTTCAGAGACAGATTTTACATGGGTATATATTATTTATTGTATATTATAATATGTATGCTTTCATATGAATTTATATTGAAATCACTACATCTGATTATTCAGATTTCATGAATTTAAAATATTGCTAATAGGATAACTATAGTCAACAAATCATATGACATTTTCAAAGATAAAACCAAGAAATATTGGGGTTGGGATACAAATTTGGTTAACAAAGTAAACTAGTTAAGTGATTATAGATTCTAGGAGAACTTCGTAAGTACTTGCCTTAGTTAGAGTTTGTATTGCTGTGATAAAACAGCATGACCAAAAGAAAGTTGGGGAGGAAAGAGTTTATTTGGATTACACTTCCATGTCATAGTCTAGCTTTGAAGGAAGTCAGGACAGAAACTTAAACAGGGCAGGAACCTGGAAACAGGAGCTGAGCAGAGGCCATAGAGGAGTGCTGCTTACTGGCTTGTTCCTCATAGCCTGCTCAGTCAGATTTCTTATAGAACCTTGGACCACCAGCTCCATGATAGCATCATCCATAATGGGCTGGGCCCTCCCCCATTGATCACTAATTAAGAAAATGCCTTAGAGCTGGATCTTACGGAGGCATTTTCTCAGTTGAGATTATCTACTTTCGGATGACTCTAGTTTGCATCAAGTTGACATGAAACTAGCCAATGCAGTACTTTAAAGTAGTACTGGGTCAATATAGTCTGTTAGAAAGTAGAGACGCTAAAATTGTTCATTTAAAGTTGTTTCATTTGCTAGATTCTCAACTGGGGATGTTAAGAATGCACAGCGGAATCCATCTTGGGAGCTACTTTAAAAACACAGTTTATCCAAAATTTTCAGCTTAGCAAACTAGTCTATTTGTAATGTAATTTCATGAGCCACATTCTTGGCTTTGGTACATTTATAAATCACCCATGGATCAATAATCTAGATATCCTTCCTAGATATTTACACATCATGTATGGATGTGTGTTTTGTGATATCTTTATGTATTTTTATTTACAAATTTGAAAATATGTGCTCATTAAAACAAAATTGTTAATTTCTGTATATAATTTTTTAATGAACAGATTCTAAAGATACAGAGACTGCACAAAAGCATTTTGGACCTCATTTTCAGGTTGCTTGTACAGCTGCTCTTAGAATTGTGTGTCTAAATGCATTTTATATTTATTTCCTTACTATTTATTGTGATTTATTTATTTATTGACTCTAATCTCACTTTATAGCTCTGCCTGGTCTGGAACTTGCTGTGTAGGTTAGGCTGGCTCAAACTCACAGACATCTGCCTGTCTGTGACTGCCTCTGCCTTCCTAGCACTGGGCTTAAAGGTGTGTTCCACCATACCCAGCTCCAATTTATTTTTAAGTTAATTTTCTCCAGTTCTATGATTTCCCCCTGTAAAGATTACTACCAGATATATATGATATTTTTAAAATATATATGCTAAAATCACTTTGACCAGTTATGTTGAGCTATGAACAAAATGAATCATAACTTAGCCTCTTATTGATTGAGGAAAGATAAGAGTGTAGCTCTTAGGAAAGATGATTGTCCCTAGCTGAAGAGAAATGCTGTTTGCTTAGCTTTAAGTCAGAAAGGGGCTGTGTTTCCCCACCAAACACTGCCTCGGAGCAGAATATGCTGTCTGCTTTTTATAGATGATCACATTCCTCTACTTAGAGTTAAGAAAGTCCATTTACCGTGTCTGAGAAACGGTAAAACTTCTCCAGTGCAAAAGCTTCTGTCTGCGGGAAGGTAAAGTGGACCAAGAGGAGTTGAGAAACCAGAGAAGCAAGTCACGTATAATTACACAATTGATTTCAATCACATACACCATTTTAGCATACATATGTATCAATTCATTGATGTTCACAGATACAAAGTATCTATCCAAAAGTATTGAATCAAAAACAAGTGGCTTTGTTCTGCATTAAATTTTAATTACCTTTAGTCACATATGCTGCTTGGATATTTCAAGTAGTGATGAGAGAATGATAAACCATTATAATTCTTGTATTTCTTTCTAACTTTTCCTGGCACACTAGTCTCTGAACATATTAATCTTGCATCTTTGAGTGAGCTAAATAAATAATAACAGACAATCAAGTACATCAAATATTTTTATCTCACTCCGACTTATGGTAAAATTGAATAAAGAGGCACTTCAGTCAAAAGATTTTTCTTGAAAAGAGGAACCAGAATTGAATATCTAAATTTGTGGTCTGGTTCATTATCCAGTGATTTTAGTGTGGAGTGAGTATAAGATAACAGTCATTTCCTGTTAGACAGCATATGCATGATGCTTCTCATTTCTAGTCTAGGTGGCCTGTGGTTGAAGCATGCTACAGTAGATAGGAAAGAAAAGGGAAGTAAAGGAATGGAAAAGAAAAGTGCAAAATCGAATACTAATGATAAGGAAACCGAGTATTGCCCCAGTTATAACAAACAATGATCAGGAAAATTCTGAGTCACTAACAGAAAGGCATGTGCTTTGGCCAGGAAAGCTGTGGTTCTGTTACAGTGTTTCCGTCAGTCTAAGAGTCAGGAGAGAAAGGGCAGCAGAAGTCTGTGTGACGGAAGTGATGAGGAGAAAGAGAGGGAAGGGGCCAGGGTGGGGATAAAAGTGGAAAGATAGAAGGAGAAAGAGCTGGTAAAGAAAGAAGAGAGGAAGGAGACAGAGGTGGTGGAGAAAGAAGAGCAGGAGGAGGAGCTGGAACAGGACAGGGAGGAGGAATAGAAGAGGGAGGAGGAATTCAAGGGGGAGGAGGGGGAGGAGGAGGAAGGGGAGAAATAAGAGGGGGAGGAGGGGGAGGAGGAGGGAGAAGAGGAATAAGAGGAGGACAAAAACATAATTGACCAAAGACAAGAGGAGGGTGGAAGGGCAATATGAAAATTAATCTCCTCATCACAATACGTTTCAACATATGAATGGTATGGTTTTGTTTTCATGGAAACTTAACAAATGAAAAATCGAGCATTGTTTTATGTCAATATAATACTTTCTTGGGGCTAATGCTCCTTTCCTGCAGCCATTTGTGGATGTTTACTGGGCCTTGATAAGTTTTGGAAGTCAGTTGCCTTAGAATATATTTAGTACGAAGTGTACTTAAGCTGACAGTTTAACGGCTTTTGCTTTAAAAATAGTTACTAAATGTATAAGTAGTAAGTAATTAATAAATTATTGAGCCCTTAAAAATCATTAAAACTTCATATTGTATAAGGCAGACCATTGTCCTTCAGAGTTACGTTTTGTTTAACTGTCTCAGTATGTAGAACTGTGGCAATACTTTTCTATGACTCTGACAGTGTTGTGCTGAAGGAAGGTTTTCCTTTAAGTTGTCATTTGGCACATTTGGACTGTAATAAGTAACCAACAGATCTACCGTTGAGAGAGATTTTCTGTTATTATAAAGGAAGATACCATAACATAATTTAACAGAGGAACAAACACATTATACACAACCAAATTCAGCTAGCATGTTACTTCCACAACTTTCTATGACTTCCTAATGGCGCTCCGAATGCATTTACTTATGGGTCTATCTTGGATCAGATATTAGCAAGGCAACAATAGCATTTGTTTTGTTTACCACAGGGCTTCAGAACAAAAATGCTTAAATATGAAAATGTGCATAAGAAGGAGATTATACTGCATGAACTCATCATGATATTAATACTTCCATGCAATTTACAGAAACAACCTATTAGCTCAGAAAAAAGAACAATTTTCATAATTAAATCTGATGTCTGTATTAAGTGATGCTATTGGGAATACTCCAGCATTGCAAGTAGGAGATGGAATATTTATCAGATGAAGTATAAACAATGTTGCTCCTGGAAATACATTAATGACCTTCATAAAGTGTATCACATCATCAGGCATGCTACATAAGTATAACTCAATACTGCAGTTTCTCCCTGAACTGATCTTTACACAGTTTTTAAAAGTACAAAAGTGAGAGAATATCATTTCATTTAGTCTCCAATCCAAATTTTTCTCCTAGACATTTGCATTAAACATAACAAATCACTATGCACTGCAAACTGATATCCCATTAAACCCAATAAAAGTAATCACTTACCTTATTCTTTCTCTTTCGTCGAAATCTCAAAAGTTCTTTGTGTTGTCTTGATACAAAATTCACTGCTGCATACTCCAGAAGTGCTGAAAACACAAAAAGAAGGCACACTGCCATCCAAATATCAATAGCTTTGACATAGGAAACCTGGGCAGGAAAGAAGAGCAAGAGAAAAACTAGTAAGAAAGTTAACTTTGACTGCTATTGCCCTGAAAAACGAAATTGATTGTTAGTTTTCTGATTCTAAATATGAATTATAAATCAGTTAGAAAAAGTAAATGAAAAGGATATATTCACTAAGAATTTCCAAGATATTATTTTTTACAAATTTTATGGATTAATCATAAATTTGTAGGACTTGAATATATTTTGTTATTATTTCCAAGTTAGGAATTAACTCAAATACAAGAAAAAAGAAAGAGGAAATATTCCATATTTGAAACATTATCAAGAGGATACAATTAGGAAAGAAAGAAGTCAAATTGTCTTTATTTGCAGATGATGCAAGTTTATACATAAAAGACCTTAAAAACTCCACCAGAAAAACTTCTAAAGCTGATACATACTTTCAGTAAACTATCAGGATACAAAATTAACATGCAAAAATTAATAGCCTTCCTATATACAAATGTCAAAGAGAAAGAAAAAGATATCAGGGAAATAATGCCTATCATAAAAGCTAGAAAAAGTATCTTGTGATGACTCTAAGCAAGTAAGTGAAAGACTTGTATAATAAAAAGCTTTAGAAACTGAAGAAAGAAATTATAGAATTTAAATTAAAGAAATTTAAAAAAGAAGATATCAGAAGATGGAAAGAATTCCTATGTTCATGGATCAGTAGGACTGATATTGTGAAAATGCCCATTCAACCAAAAGCAATCTACAGATTCAACACTATCCCTGTCTAAATTCCAACAAAATTCTTCCAGAAATTAAAAAAAAAACTTTCAATTTCATATGGAAACAAACAAACAAAAAACAAAAACAGGAAAACTTAAATAAGCCTGTACAGTAAAAGTCAAAGGAATCATCATCTCTGATGTCAAGCTCTATTACAGAGCTATAGTAATAAAAACAAGATGGTTTTTATTGGCATAAGAGCAGATATGTTGCTCAATGGAATCAAATTGAAGGTCCTGATCTAACTCCACATACCTAAGGATACCTGATTCTTTCAAAGAAGCTAAAAATACATACTGGAGTCAAGACACCATCTTCACCAAGTGGTGCTGGTCAAACTGGATGTCCGTATGTAAAAGAATGAAAATAGATCCTATCTATCACCCTTTACAAAACACAACCCCAAATGAATCAAATACCTCAACATAACACCAGGTATCTCAAATCTGAAACATTATAATTCTTGCAGTTACATTGCACTTAAGTAAGTAAATAACTAACTAAATAAATGTGTATATGAGTGTGTGTATATACATGTATATATGTATGTATAAAACAATGTTAACTTTTAAATATTATATTTTCACTATTTCTTTTTTACTTAGCAATGATTTTATTTTACAAATAATTAATTCACCTAAAATAATTTGTTCTCTACTTCAAAATTTTTCTTAGGCAACCCCTAAGATTAGTAAGTAAAAAGAATCCCTTGCTTCCTCACCTGCTAATCTGACTACAATTATTATGATGTGCATGTATGAATGTGTATATATATATATATATAATATTTACATATAAATAGACATACTTTGCACCATATATACATATATATGTATATATATGTATGTATGTTTCTCCACTATTGAGCTATCTGCATGTAATTTGAAGACAGTGCTAAACACTCAACACTATTAGCAATTATCTACTCAGGGCAGCTACTGTCTAATCTTAATACTCAAATAGCATTCTATCAAATAGCCTGACTTGTTGCATTTTAATTTCAGGTATCATTAGTGTTCATTCACATTTGCTCAATCTTTCCTTGTTTTTGGTGTTATCAGTAGTTTTAATGAGTCAAGGCTAGCTATTTTACAGAGTGCTCTTCATAAATTTTCCTTGTTTTTGCTTGTTTGTTAGTAATGTCCTATCAAAGTTTCACATCCATTCTTTACTGTGCATTATAGCAGGGAGGAAAAAGTGTTAGTCATTTGGATATGGTGAGGCCTTCCAGTTTTTTGTATTTTAAAGGTTACTGAGTTCCTCCTGAGTGTAATGTTCTGAAATTATGTTGACACAGCTTTATTGTAGAGCATGCATTCGGCATACATGAAACATCTTGTTTGATCTCTAGCACCAACCTCCCAAAATTTATTCTGAATTTTCACAAGGTATAGCTAGTATTCATTGATGATTCTAAGGAAGTTGTGACATAGAAAATGGCAAAGGCTAGAACAAAAACCTCAGCAGCTTTTGACTTGTCTGGACTGTCCCTTTTGAATGACTCCTGTTTGTCCCTCAGATGTCAGCATAAACTACTTTCTCAAGAAATCTTTTCCTAAAAGTTTGTAACAGAATAGCGCTCTTCACTATCTTCCTCTTCCTCTTTCACAGTTAGAGGCAAAGTTCCTCATTGTAGAGGTGGTATTGAGACCTAGTGAAATGCCTGCAAAAAATCACAGAGCTACCAAATGGCAAAGGTTAAGATTGGCATTTAATTAACCTGCTATAGTAGACCTATAATTGGTCTGCTTCTGGAGACCATGAACACGACTACTACTCTATTACCTCCCCTTTTGACTGATTAAAATCATCACTACAAATTAAGAACAACACTGAACTTTGGAATTTGATTTGTGTTAAAACGTTCATCTTTAATTTTTCTCTAATAATTAAAAGTCAAAGTTCCTCCATGTGTGTTTGCTTTGATCTTAAACCCAGACTATTCCCTCTTTACCAGATAGTGTGAGAAAGGAGATAGGGTCTAGGTATTTACTAGAGAGAAATAAAGTGTCTTTTGACCAGGAAAATGAAAACTGTTAAAATCAGAGAAACATTGTATCCTTCAAAATGCAGTGAAGAGTGCCCATGATTATATAAAAGGAAGCAAGGCTTTTGATCTAACTGGGAACTAGGAGATAATTTTCTATTGAATTTATATTAATATAGGGAGGCATAGTCAGCTTGATAACTTAATTTTAGTATCAGTGGAGTGTTTAACCATAAATGGGACATCTATATTACCAGTCCCCAAGGCTGGTGGACGATTGTGGAAGAGGGTCCCAAGAGATTGGAAGAGCTGAAAGTCTGGGAGGATCAGAATGGAATAGTGTTTTCTGAACACGACAGAAGCACTGCACTTATGAACCCTTAACAACTGTGGTTGCCTGCGTAAAATCAAGCCAGTCAACATTCTAGTGAGAAGCAGGAATGATTCATGAACCTCTACCCTAATTGTGGCACTAAGTATAGTTGAGGACTTTGGGGTAGAGAGAGTCAGTTTTCATTAAATTGATAGTTACTGGTAGGTTGACCACACTCCAGTGAATTATCCCACACTCGGGAGTATGTGGCCAGCACAAACTGGTCTCAGTGGATTGGTAAAAAAAAAATGTCATGCAAACTGTTTCTTCTACTTTCAGCATTCTTTAGCTATTAGTAGCCTTTTGTGTAGGGTTTAAGATCTTGAAAGAGAGCAAGGAAGAATATATGGGGGTGGTTAGAGAGAGGAAAGGGAACAGGGGCATGTGAAGAAAAGGGACATGGAGAAATGATGTGATTATATTATAATCTCGAAAAAGAGAAAAAAATCAGGCATGAAGTTGGATGGGGTCGGAGATAGGGATGGATGTGAGAGGAGTTAAGGGAATGAATGAGGAGTGAATTTGGTCAAAGTACATTGTTGGAAATTCTCAAAGAATTAGTAAGCATTTTAAAAGTTTATAATATATATTCTGTAGACTTCTGTGCATATTTCAGAAATACTGTGCATTTCTTATATTGTTTAATGTCATAATTAGGAAATAGAGAGAATTTACATTACAAATAACATAAAAATATATGACTGAATTGTATCATTATTGATGAGTTCCATGGATATCACAGACAGAGCCAAGTCACCTTGGTTTTGGAAAGAAGTCATATTTGGGGAGCTTACCTAAGTACGAATTTCTCTATGTTTCACACTTAAAACATAATATAATGGAAGTTGGCTTGATGAGAATCTGCCTATGATGCACTATGTTAATAGAGAGCATTGAAGTCTCAGTGGCTGGAACTAATGTATGCCAGGTCCACTTTTGTTGAAATGTGGTCCTGGATCCGTGCTGTCACTGTGACTCTTTCTTGTGGCACAGTGGTGGAGGAAATACAGGGCACTTGTGGTTGTCAGCTTGGGTGATTAATGGTACAGGCTTGAGGGGGCACGGGTCATTTTGGTTAAAGTTCAGCCACCAGAACTGCTCAGAATCAGTCTCAGCTTAAAACAAAACAAAAAAACCTGCCAAGCTTTCCAGGTACCTGGCGGGGAAAACCCAGCGGGAGCGGCACAGCATTGCCCTGAGACAGAGGGAGTCAGAGAAGGACTTTTCTAGTTTTCGCTCTGAAACAAATGCAAGCAGCCCCACCAGTTCAGGAGTTAGGATATTTGAATACTTTAAGATGATAATATAAGCGAAGATTCACTGAAGAGCCAAGGACACTGCCTTCCAGGAAAAAAGCTATCAATTGTGGTGGCAGACGGGATAACTCAGCTAGGTCTGAAACATAGCTGAGTATTCTAAATCCATGCTGTCAGAGAAAGCACAGGAAATCAGTCATAAAGAGGTACAAAATCTGCCTAGAGATGGAGAGTAAAGGCGAAGAGCTCCATGCTGCTTCACCCATGAGACGACTTTGTTTGAGCCACACAGTTTCAGAGAGGATGGAGAGGGAATAGAAGAGAAGAAGAAGGTGAGAGAGGACAGGAGCAAAGGAGAGAAAGAGAAAGAGATAAAGGGAGGAAAGGAGAGACAGAGTGAGAGAAAGAGGGACATACTTAGAATAGATGACTTTACTATCATGCTCATTCCTCTCCCAGGTGATCACTTGTTTGTGGATTTAATCCTAAAATAATTTCATTTGTTCCCTCTGATCGTGAGCGATAGGTTATGTCTGTCGTTGGACACCAGTTCACAGGTGCGGTATCCCTGTGCAAGATTTTGATATTATCAATCAAGAGCAATGTTTTGGGTTTTGTTGCCTGACAAGCA